AAACACGTCCGAAGACTGAAAACAGAACCCATGTACCGAAACCTGCGGCCCCAAACACACAGGTGTCAGTTTCGCAAAGTGCCCCCAGAACTACGCAGAGAAAGACAGCCTCCCAACTCTAATAAACTCATCACCTTTGCAACAAGGGAGAAGGGAATAAGGGATATATAGAGTATGGATACTTTGCAAGGTGCTGCCTTCCTTGACTTCACAATGTGCAGGACCCAAGCTTCAAAGCTCAGAAAATCTCCAACCATGAACTCAACTCAAGACCCGGAAACGCTCGCCATGACAACAAGATACCCAAGACAGTGACCATGCAATTTCGGCACCAGACCCTGTGTGGAGGGAGGTACAACTTCCTATCCCCTCTATAAGGCTCTGGCAGGCAAAGGTGCCAGTCGCGTACTGCGCCTGAAGGCTGGGAGTTTTTAAAGCTGAGGTGCACACAAGACTTCTAGACAAGACTCTGGAAAACTATCAGAAAATCTGGCACATCCTTGTTTCCTCTGTAAACTCAATGTCCGAAACGTGAAGTGAGTGACATCCAGGCAGTTCCTCAAAGGGCGCCTGGGATGCGGGAGCAACACCACCTCAAGGTCAGACTGCAAGAGCTTTGAAAACTCCCATCACAGGACATGGTTTTGAGGTCTGGGGTTACAGCTTGCAAGTTTACAGTCACAGTCGCGTTGCTTGCAGCATGAAACCCCTCTGAGTTCAGAGTAAGTCGGACGTGGGCCACATGTTCAGCTTAGCCACGGATTTCCGCATCGGCAGTTGCCAGCAAAGCAGCTGCAACCACCCGGGCCATGGATTGCCAAGAAATACTGGATCAAACCCTGTCAAGTGCATATTTGTACACCCCCTGTGCTCTTCTTAGGGGCCTACATATTTCGAAGGACTTGTTCTGGCTCCGACTGTTGGTGAGGGCGTTTTCAATACCAATCTTTCCCCATCTGTTTTTCCCAAGCGTAACTAGCAAATGCACCCCTGTGGAAATTGCGGCTTCTGGTGCTGGATGGGCAGGCATTGAGGGGTGGAACATAAGAACTACAGCAAGCACTCCGACTTGCTTGGGGGCTTTGTTCCCTCCCCGACACGAAGATGTCTGTGTCATCTGCTGTAGCTCCATTCCATGGGATCTCGTTTATTCTTGCATGGCTTCGCATCTTCACAAGATCTATTTGAGCTTAGGGCTTCAGGCTGTCAGAAGTATAGCCCTTTTTCCTGAGCGGCTTTAGATCTTCAATACCCAATACATGACACCTTGGAGGTTTAGGCCATGCCTGCCTTCGTTCCTAAGCTGCAGCTTGAAAGCTCAGCGTCACGCATCTGCATAGCAGCTTGGGTCTCGGCGTAAAAGGGAAAATGGGTAGGAGCGCAGGAAGGGATGGGATGGACAGGCAAAGTAGTGAGAGCAATCGGATGGCAAAGGGAGGGAAGGACCAGAAGAGAGAGAGAGAGAGAGAGAGAGAGGAGAGGAAGGAGAAACAGAACTAGAGCAATGCAGCGATCATGCAAAGGTCAAATAGCAGGCTTGGCATTTCATCCGCACAAAGCCTATGCAGATCACCCAAACATGAGACGCAGCAGCGAGCCGAAAGTGCATCTCCTCCTCCCGCAAGTGGCGCACGAGTTTCAAGAACTCGCCCTGCACAGGAACATCACGAGTTGGAGCCCATGCACTACAAGGCTAGTGCTTATCAAAACTGCGCTCCCTGCTCTGCTGCCCAACAGGTTGGACGGCATCATCATAAAGCAAAGGTCCCAGTTTTTCGGTCTCTGGGCAGATGGAGCATGATAGGATTTCACCAGGCTTACAGCAAGGTGAAATCACAGTGACTACAAACAGCCCTGCTCCTGGTGTTGCGGCAAACTCTCGTGATGGGGCATTTGAACATTTGAAGGAGAGCTGCCAATGCCTTGCAGGACAACTGCCTGAAAAACTGCGCCAGGTTTGTACCCAAAAGACTGGATTCCGCATGAAAACTGGCACCCCAAAAGCGCAGGTACGTTCATTAAAAACATTCACAATCCTTGGTTTGGGAGCTCTACAAAAACGGGCCAAGTTCTACTCGGCAACGACTGGCTCTTCTAAGCCAAGAATCCCCTATACTTACTCACACAAAATGTACATAGCTCCTAGAAATCAAAAACTGGAAAAGGCCAGGTTAACGCTCCTACACTGCCCTCTCCAAGTGCTGCATGGCTTGGTGTTCACTCACGCGCAAAACCGCAAAACGTCGAATGCTTAGAAAGACTGATTTACTCCTTTCGATTCAAAATTTCAACTTCTGTAAACACATGTATACACATATATACATATATACATACATGTGTGCGTGTGCGTCTGCGTATATCTTGTAGCCAAAAAACTCTGTGTCCCTTCATGTTGTGTGGGGTGCGCTGACGGTAAACAACGCTTCGCAAACCAGTTCGATGCTCTACAATGCCACCAAACACTCTCAAGGGGCCCGTCCCTCCCTCATTAACCCCTGCGCAGCTCCCCTACCCGTATCTTACAACAATTGCCGCTAGCCATGACTCCTGCGATTCTGCGCCTCGTGGATGGCACCTCGGCGCGATTCTCCAAAACCACTGTGGCCCACGACACGTCTCACACCCGAAACTCCAGCTATGAGGGACCCCAAATCCTAAAGCCATGATCTTTCAACTGTAGACCAACGTGAGCTCCTGCCCCTAAGGGTTCTGAAGCGAGCAGAAGGAAATCTGAGCGGACACATGGCTGGAAACAAAATACAAAGGACTAATACGAATAAGTGGTGTCGGTTCTGAGCGACGACAAAAACAAAACAGCATGAGGAATCGCGATCGTACGTGTGGCATGATTTCTCCTATACATGAAAGTAATAGTCAAAGCTAGGGCAGCCTTGGTTCGGCATGGTTCCGCGACTTGCACTAAAGAGTGAGTTCTCATGCCTGACAAATGTCACAGGCACGAGTACGGCAGCCCCAAAGCTGGGATCCCTTCACTGCTGACACTTTTACTGGAAGGTTAAGGGGTTGGAAACCTTCAGGAAACCTTTGCACGCAAGCCTCATCCATACCAGCAGCACTGTCTTCCAGGGATCCAGGCCACTCTTGTCCAGGTCCACCCTGCACCAGAGCTGCCGTCGCCGCTGCGTGGACAGCGGGTAGCCCAGCCTGAGTTTCGCATCTTGGATTGGTTTGGAAATTGGGGGCATTTTGCCACCTGCATGGCTTGGGCAGCGTTGCAAGGTTCGAATACGGCAAAGTCAGAGCTGTGAACGAACTGCAGGCCTGCATTTACCAACCCAAAGCCTGCAAAACTGATGCCACGTGGTACTGTCATTGCAATAGTGAGAGTGTTAGGTTCTGGGCGGTGGTGGAATTTTAGTTTTGATTTCCGAGGTTTCGTGAGTGAGTCTTGAGGGTGGAGCATTGGGTTCTAAAAGGGTGAAGGATTCTCGGGTTGAGGGTGTGGGCTCCAGAGTGCTCAGGGTTATGCACCTGACTTAGGGATCCAAAAAATTGCTTAGAGTGCTAAGCTTAAGGCTCGGGGTTACACTGTACACTTCAGGAATCGTCACTTTGGCGAATGGTGTTGGTTACGGGCTTCGGATTTAACATACACGCCCGGCAAGGTTGCGCACATGAGGATGTTTAGGCCAAATCTATTAGCTTGAGATTTCATGAAACTCACATGTTGGGGTGCAGGCCGAAGAAAGCCTTGAGAAGGGCAACGACGTCAGTGTCAGCTAGATAGGGTTCGGAGTCATAACTGCAGCTCGCTGTCCAGCAGTGTCGCCTTAACTCCTAAACACCCGGCGTTCACTTCCGATAATCTTCAAGTATCCTGGCCTTGTGGCTTGCGGATGAAGGCAAGAAGATTTCGTTAGCTTTGACTCTGTTGGCACGTGTTTATGTGTGCTGGACATGCCCATGATTCTGACTTGGGACCTCCAGGTAGGCTTCGACAGCTTCTGGGGAAAGTTGAATCAAGATGATGCGACGAAGAGGGTAGAGCATGCTGAGAATCCTAAAACCAAATTTTCAATGATAAGACTAGTAAAATACTGATAGTTAATACTAGTAATGGAAATAATAAGAATAGTACTAATAGCAATAATTCTTGAAATGGTAGTAACAAGAAAAGAAATGATGGTAATAAAGTACACACCACATCTTCGCCCGTCAAAACACCGGAAATTCCAAAATCCTTTTTCGAGGGCCCCGGCCAGCTCAGGGCCCGCGTCAGCTCAAACTCTCGCAGCTCATCCCTGCCCTGTAGTGAGGGGCAGGGACTTCAAGATTCAGAAGGGGGTTGTTCTAAAGGTCCTTGTAAAGAAGGGACCATTGGGAATACACTTACTTAAACGGGGATCCTAACCAAACAGGGAACCTACATTATGGCCATTTTGGGGACAAGTATTTTGAACAACCACCAAAAGGAAAGGGGCTTCAAAGCCCCTAAGATGCTGGAAGACAGTGGGGATCAATTACACCTGCTTATGGGCCGTATTGCGAGGTAAGCGAGCACCTCCGAAGGCCACATTTCCGGCAACAAACAGCAGGCCTTGGACGTGAACTTGCGGAACACGGACTTCAACTCCTGCGCCTGAAAGCATGCCGCAGAACACACTGCTGTAAATGCAGCTGCGGCATGACTTCCACGAGTTGGACCACAAGCACGGACATGTCAGAACAGTTATCATAACAACTACGATAATGAAGCGGCGGTAGCAAAGGCAGAGCAGCGGCAACAGTAGCACAAGAGGCGCCGCCACGGCCACGGCACAGGTGTATGTAGGAGTAGGGCATAGCTGGGTGGTTTGGGTTCCAATGCTTGCTGCCAATCAACCTTCCGATTATCTATTTATGACCACGCATGCTTGACTTGACTCGGCAATTCCAGGGTGCTATAGCTGCAAACTCTGACACTCCAAGCTTACCTGGCATTAAAGAACAGACATCGGAATGGATCCCTGCACTGGCTCTTCCACTGTTTCGCGGATGCTTCACAATGCCCCTCGCTTGATCCTCAAATTGTTTCCACCACATCTGCTCCAGCTTGCCTCATCCTTCGAGAAGCCCTCATTGGCTCGGATATAGGCCAGGACGTGCACGCAATCCTGCGGCAGCAATCCAGAAAGACAGAATGCTACTACCAAAGCCGGAATGAAAAAAGAAAGAATGCACGGTTTCAATTTGACACTACGTAAGAATCCTGAGCAACAAAATCAAGCGTACTAAAACACGGGAGGAATTGTAGGAATGGGGTTATATCATTGCAGTGGCCATTTCGTTGTCTTTTTTTTGTCCATTTGATTCTCAATCATTGGGGTAAGGCAACCACGTGCAGGTGGCCGAACTTCAGGGTTCAATTTGGTTTGGTTGACTGATTGCTTAGAAGGACAAGAGGCTGCGTTGGGCTATGCCCCGCGGAGTACGTGGAGTACTGAAGAGAACGCAAGGTTCAAAACATTCATGCCTCAAACGCAAAAGCTAAACACAACAAGCCCAGTGCGAACCACTTCATGCCCCTTTGAAGCGTATACTCAAATTTGGGGCCCAGCGTGCTTAGCCTCTCAAAGGCCACCCATTTGGTCCGTAACAAGCCCTGCAAAGCAGACGCGAAGGCTCCTCGAAGATAATTCCATCCTCGGCCCCTGAGGGGAAGAGGCTCTCCACAGCCTCTTCGATGACCTGACGTGAATCTTTCTCAAATATGAAAAAAACCTTTCCGAGCGGTTCGTCCAGTGTAGCTTGAAGCTGGCGATTGAGGTTTCAAGCTTGCAGGGCTTGGGGCCTGGCAGGCTCCTTAGAACTCTTTTTCATGGGATGTTGGCCCACTAGACCCAATAACGCACAGAATAAACTGCATGGCTCCCCCACATCATCCACCCCCTTTGGCAAAAGCCAAGTGTGGGACGGAGGAGTGGATAGTGTAGCCCAACCTGAGCCCGGACATGAATAACAGTTACAGCAGCAACAATGATAACGCGAGTTTTCCTGATAGCAATCCTCAGGGCAGCATTGATAGCATGAGTCTCCGGAATCCAAAGCAGCGTGCTGGACAGCCCATGTGCAGTATGCCCCAGGCTTGAAGAAGAGCTCCGACAGCTCCTGCCTAAGGTTCGGGTTCAGCGTATGGGGCACATACTTGGGCTTTCCGGTCAAGCTGAAACGGTTTGGGGGCCAAGGTTGAAGGTCCAAGGGGCTAGGTCAATGCGCACACAGTGGTTCATGCAAGTGGGAGTCCGGAATTACCAGAAGCATCTCAACCCATCTCCTCAAGGCTTCAACACACATGGGCAGACTACACCATCCTCCCACCCTTGGCGCCCTGAGCCCGTTGCATGTCCAGGAAGCCGGAGTCATCGTCATCCATGGCTGCAAAGAGAGCCCGGAACCTGGGCTGGTTTAGGGTCTGGGGCCAACAGGGGCTTCAGGTCAAATCCAAATCCTCAAGTACTTCAGCTGCGGGGTAAAGGATGAAGGATTGAGGTCGCCAGCTGCAGGCTCTCAAGTCTCTGGGGCCTGGGGAACTCAAGGTTTTGGACGCTTGACGGTGGAGCAGTGTGACCTAAAGCGTGGAGAGTCGAAATTGTGGCAAGGTTTCACATCAAAGCAGCTGTTTCTCCCTAGATCATTCAATAAATGCGGGGAACTGAGCAGCCCTTCGGCCGCAACAATCTTTGTATCAGTTTGTAAAACTTAGGCCTATCTCGGCTTACTTAACCGTTAAACTTGCCAAAGACCTACACTTCCTGTTCCTGACCGCAACGTTGCGACCCTGAAATTGCCCCGCAAAAATCATAAGGCTTTTGCTGCCTCTTCTGGACAGGAACAGTGCCGCAGGGTTGAAAGGGCCCCATACATGTGCAAAACTCCATTCATGCAAGGAAACCACATCTGGCCTCTCAATGAATTTCGGATGTTCCCACACATGGCCTTATATCCTTCAAGAACACAAGTGCCCTCCTGACAAGGGTATTGCTCAGGCCTAAGTACCCTAACTGTGAGCTGCCTTCCAAAAATTCTGATTTTGTCTGAAGAGAATGTTTTTGACTGGGATAAGGACTTTACGAGATGACGATATGGAACCATCAGGACCCATGCTGTTCAGCATATACATCCAACCCCAAAACCCAAACAGACGTTCGAATTCGTCAAAGACTTGACCTACACAAGCCGCAAACCGCAATTCACTTTCTCCTTCCTGTTGCTTAGGGGACATTAGGGTAATGGATCTCCATAATCACGCTAATCCTGACAACATTCACGCCTCCCCTATGTCTCTCACACCTGCTTGGGCGGACCTGTCGAACCGAGAATTCTAAGGGTCGAGCCAACATGCTCATGTGGCATGCCGCGCCAAGCGCTTGTTAGTGGAACCCTCGTCAAGTCCTAAACTCTATCTCATACCCTACATGTCACAAACTCCCCAACAAGCACCAGTAAGTCCCCTATCACGCCCAGGAACTCTTCTATCTCCTCTTCGGCCACGCACCTTGCGCCCAATTTGCGGAAGTTGATTCTGTAATAGCATGTGAAGGTAAAAACCAGGGAAGATAACTGTTCAACCGATGCAGCTTCATGGGAACTCTATTAGACAACGCAAAGTTGTTGCCGTTGACCAGGCCTTAAGAATCCAAATTGTTGTGATATTGTCGCGGCGTGGCTTGGACAGAAAAATGATGCTGCAAATCTTTAACAGGCTGTTCTGCATTACAATGCAAAGCTCTGGCACGTCGAGAATGGCGCTGAGTCAGAGCAGTGGATCAGAACTGCACGCACAGCTTTGTATCATCTGCACTGTGCTAGCGGCTTTGCTGTTTTTGCCGCTCAGGTCTATCATCCTTCTTTGAACTGCTCCAGTCAAAGTCACACAATGAACCTGCTGCTAGAAAAAATCCTCACCCAAGTCCTACCTAGCACGACGTAGATCACCTTGACCCTAAACCCAAACTTGCTGACATATGCAACAAGTGCCGTGAAAGCACAACACAGGGGCCCAGGCCCAACTTCTTCCACAACCACGAGTCACACTGACAACAGCAGAAAGAACCCTCATGACAGTGATTCTGGTTTTTTGGCGCAATCGCCTACACCCATATTCAGCATCCCAATCTGGTTGCCCTTAAGAACACCTGTCTCCTGCCTCATGATGCGAAGGAACTCCGGCCGACTGATGCTTTGGATGGACTGCAGGCGGTCACAGGGCCAAACATGCAAGGAACCCAGGTACTGGCAGTTACTGGTTGAGCCCACTTCAGGGCTGCCGTAGAAATGTTCCAAGGACAATCTTGGCTTATGAGCTCTGTGGGCAAAGTTCCCAAACTTCTCATTCAACACGAGGGTCTGCGTAGTTTTGTGTCTTGGCCATGGGGCTCCAGTCTTCTCATTTCGTCATTGCCTCTACACTGCAAGGCAGCCCTTCTGTCTATACTCGAAATTAGGATCCAAACAAAGAGCCTCAAACGAGAAACTGCTTGGCTTCAAGTTCATCCTGCACGCCTTATGTGGCTCCTAAAAAAAGAGCAGAAAACACCGAAGCCTGTGCACAAACCCTCAAACACTCACAAGCTAAACTAAAAAGTCTAGCTGCTTTCTCAGTCCTAAAGCTAAGCAGTATTCTTCAAACAGGCAAAACGTGAAGAATCAGCGGTGTCTGGCTTGTATGGCATAGAATGGACTATCAAGTCAACACCTTCCTATAACTTCTCATCTCTTTTTGGCATGCAACAGGAAGCTGACACCCCGTGCATCCCTACAAGTTTTTCAGGTTGATCTCTTCACCTCGCTACATCCTTCGGAAACCTTCCTGCAGTCTCTGAGCACGCACCCTCTAAGCAGTGTACAGGTTCTCTTCCACATCCCGAAAAAATCCCAGACTCAGACAAGCCTTCTCGAGGTACCGCTCGATGATGTCACGGGCCTCTGCTATGCTCGTGGGGTGGCCGCACCTTGAAGCACAAGATACAGTATGAGGGGTAGGGGTTATACAGAGGTCAGGCTTCATAATGCCATGAAGGCTTGCACTCGCGCACACAGCACGCACGGTCCCCATAAAACCTATGGCTTTTTGCATGACTTTCTGCTAACAGAAACGCGGCTCAGAGAAAACCAAACAAAGTACAGGAGCTGCAGGATCACTAGGAACATCCCGAGGCAGAAGCAGCAACCACTCACAATTACAATTCTGAGCCCTTACCAGCGAATGCCACTTGGCAGCTATGCCAGCCTGAGCATCTGCGAAAGCCTTTTTGACACCCCACGGAAACTCAAATCAAACGCAGAGAACCATAAACCCAGTAGACAACACAGGTCTGGGGCCCTGGCCACCCTAGAGCGCCCGCAAGCTCATCTGCAGAGAGCTCACCTGCTTTAAGATTTTGCAGGTTGCCAGGGCACAGGCTTATCAGGAACCTAGTTTCAGGAAATCCGCGCAAGAGGTTTGAAGCGTGCGCCCATCTTGCACCACAAAATCCCAAGAAACTAAGCCCAAAGCCAATGAGCAAGTTTCTCACAACTTGGAGGCCCCCAGTAGTCTAAGGATCCCAAAAGAAGGCATAAAATCTGGAGCAACCACCATGATGTCAATGTCGGGGCTAGAAAGCTCAAACGCAAACGGCCTGAAAGATCTGCATCATAGCGATCAAAGAGCGTGTAGAAGGCCTTGACCTGCATCGTTGTATTGATGGTAATACTCACCTGTACTAAAGCATTCAGGAAGGGAGCAAATTATCATAATCTCCCAGCAACTCAGGTGCCCCTGTCAGCCCCCAAGCTTGATCTTCCAACAGAACACTACAGAGTACACAGTAACTCCACAGTCCATTTGTATTAGTCCTGATCACAAGTATAAAGAAGAAGTAGTTGCATGGACTACCAGTGGTAGTGGCGAGCACGGAGTTGGGAGAAATCAACAAATGCTGCAGCTGTGGGGGGACAAGGCGGGTGGATGCAGGGTAGCACTTTGAACATACCAGTATTTTCCATTTTCTTTTCCATTATCCCTACATGGCCCCGATATACTGTAGTAGTTGGCATATTGTGAGTTTCGGTCGCTCTCCCCCATAATGTAGGCAAGCTAGTAGGGAGGGCGGGAAGCTAGCAGCAGCTGCGGTAAGATTACCACAAGCAGTACATAGCAAAGGCAGTTGTGGTGGTTGATGTATATACATATACACACATACAGATAGACTTTATAAATATAACCCAGCTTCCACTCCGGATTGGACTGGCAACTGCAGCCTCAGTTCGGGAGAAGCCGAAGCGGTCATAGACCTGAGTGGCTGCGTTGCATTAGCTGAAGCAAGAAGCAAAGCAGCGATGTGCGGCTGGCATCGGCTGAGGATCTGGGGGTTAGGGTTCAAAGGCTTTGTCAGTGCTTTAGATTGTTGCACTCCTGGGCGGCTACGTGGCTGAGGATGCCCAGCCTTCTAGAATCTGGGCAAACCATTTTGCCGGCCCAGATCTCACATGCGTACCTCCGCAAGTTTTTTGCCAGGGCCCAGTAGACTTCGATTCTTGCAGCGCGAGCGGGCCTGCAATCCCATGCAGCAAAAAAATTGAAAGACTGCATCTTTCTGCAACAGGGCCATCGCTACCCAACCCTTGAACTAGAAGCCCTGAACTTCCCCCGAACCAAAAGGCTTGAACCCTGAACCCCTCACCGTGGAGGCTATACAGGGCTCTGGGAAGGTGCCCGAGGATCAGACGATCTTCAAGACCAGCTCGAACCTTGCGGGGCCAAGCTCCAACAAGCTTGAAAAAAGCCATTTGAGCTGTAGTCTAAACTCCTTAAAGGAGGATTATATAGGGGATTATATAGGGGACTACTATAGGGGTTATTAAGGGGGATACTAGGAGTTTAGACTATAGCTCATTTGAGCTCTAGTCGAAACTCCTCGTATCCCCCTTTATAACCCTCGTTTCTGGACGGATACAGCTGCTGGCTAGTGCTGGAGTTGGAATGGCCGGAGTTTCAACGGAAGGATGAAGCATCTGGGCTTGGTAAGTTTTTTACAGTGGATTCACGCTCAAGGGTCTAAAGCCTTGGCTGCGGTGGGCAATTTTGGGTCTTCTGCATCAGCAAGGCTTATGTGAGTGCCATGTGGGGGGAGCCCATGTGGACAAGTAAAAAGCCTAAGGCTCCCAAAGGGAGTGAGGTTCATGCGACTTCTGACATTCAAAAATTGCACTGAACATAAATAGCTTCCGCCCTAACCTTTCATCGACTACCCTCAACCATAAACCCTCCTTAACCAGTGGACCTGTATGTAACCACCAAACGTTAGACCACACCAAAATTGTCAAACTCATACAGAAGTTGTTGATGCTGGGTGCCGCGCTCTCGCAACTCCACTGTGCCAGACCTTATGACGAAGCCAACCACAGAGCGGGCAACGTAGGTAGAATTGCGAAGATGGCGACGGGCTACATCTTTGGCGCCAATGTTTAAAACGCTTCACGCACGCTCGTTACTTCTTCCTATCCTTTTCCCTGCCCTAGCACGACAAAAGCAAGATCTGCCCGGAGGCCGCAAACTGGAACCTTGTAACCACTGCTGCCAGGTTGCAAAATTTTCACCAAAAAGCAAGGAAAACTTCATCCCATCACCCTCAACCCACACCCTATGCCAAACGTTGATATCGCAGCAAAGTGGACATGCATTTTGGGGCGACCCTAATCCCGAAGCAGGCTTAGAAATACTACAAATTGCTACAATGTGCTCCTTTGGAATCAGTACATGATTGTTCATGGCACTTTCACCGTTAGCAATTAAGATAGAAACTCGTGCGCCTACCATCAAAGTCACACGTACTTTTGTGCATATTCTTCTTGGTATCTACGTCTATCATGAAAGTTGCCGATACTAATGCACTGGATAGCACGGCTCCTGCTCCAGTTTTGCTGCCATGACAACGACAAGGCCAAGAAATGACACTGCTACTGCTCTTGCTGGACGACTACTGCTACCGCAACCACAACCACATCTACCCAACTACCCCGCCACTGCGGTACCGGATAGCACCAGCGCCTACGCAAGCGCCAGCGCCAGCAGCAGCACCGCCACCGTGAACGACCAGCACCACCAGCACCACCAGCACCGCCAGCACCGCCAGCACCGCCACAAGCACCGCCAGAACCAGTACCACCACAAGCTCCACAAGCACCAGCACCAGCACGAGCACCAGCAAGACCGCCAACGCCACCACCACCACCACCACCACCACCACCACAACCACCACCACCACCACCAACACCAACACCAACACCAACACCAACACCAACACCAACACCACCAGCCACCCGCCACCACCACAACGACGACTTCTGCTACTGCACCTTCAGCCACCCACTGAGCAATGTAGGAAGCTCGCCTATCCCGGTCCACCTCCTCGAAAATCTCGTCCAAGGTCTCCCTGGAAGGGCTGAGAAAAACAAAAAAACAAGATCTTGGCAAAATGGCTTTCATGAGTCAGCACTACAACAGGCAACTCAATTCTTGCGGACAATATGGCTGGGCTGATGTAATACCTTTGAGCTTCAAATTGGACCTTTATGCAGGAAAAGGTCAGGCCATGATGAGTATCCAAGCCTGCGGCCGCTGGCTGCAGAAGCCCTATTGAGCAGAAGAAAGAAAATGCAAAAATTCCAAAATTCCAANNCCCCCCCCCCCCCCCCGAAAATCAACGTTTAACTCGCCTAAGCCTTCAACCAAACGAAACTTCTCCTATGAACATGTCCTCCTCTGTAACACAACTGAATACTCGCTCCAATCCTTCCCAAGCCTACATGGTGCCCGTAAACAAAACACCTTGAAAACCCTGGACCCCAAGTGCTGGCCTGTTTACAGAATAGCCAGTGTCCCACAACAGTCGGCGAAGCTCCGACTTATCGATCGACCCTGCTTGGTGCAGCGTAGATGTTTTGAGAACTCAGGGCTTGGGATTCAAAACTTTGGGTTTAGGTTGTCCACATGTGGCATCGACCCTTGGCTTTGCGCCTGCAATGCTTGCACTTGACGTCGTCGGTGACCAAACCGCAGTCTTGCAATCACGACCTCCTTATCCGAGAGTTGCTGCCGTCTTCAATTATGATGAACCACTGCTGCTCGCATAGGAATAGCCACTTTTAGGAGGATCTTTCAATACAAGGAGGCTACATTCTGAAATGACAAACACCCCTGATACTGACGCGACCCGCCTGAACCATCTTCATCCAGCTGCTCAAACTGCGCCTGGACTCATTAAGCTCAAAACATGCCTTTCCGCACAATAACCCAGAAGATCCCTGTTTCAATGAAATCTAATGATTTTGAACATCGCTTCGATGACCTTGATGTTAAATGACTCCCTCGAAGATTCTCACTGACGCACCCTTATGTATTCTTGGATTATGAGGAGGCTACAACAAGTGCTACGATCAGCTTTCAGTTAGAGTCCAGACAAAGTCAACAGGTATTGCACTATTTCTTTTCGGGTTTTAACCAGACCTCAGATGCTTTCTGGACACAAGATCGTGTAGTTCTGTTGCGTGCGTCTCTGCAGGTGCAGTTGCTGCAATGGATTGGGGAATTATCCTTGCTTCATGGTTCTGCAACTTCCCCATCGGGAGAAAAGCGCACCTTACAGCAATGCTAACACAGAGATAGTACAAAGAAGTCGGTATACCACTCCCAAACCTTGTCCTGACTTTCCATGCATTAGCAATGACTGCGGCGATGCAAGTATGATCACTGTTAACACTACATTGGCAAATTTCTTGCTAGGGGGGTTATCATTCCGGGTTTGGACAATGCACAAGAAGCCCTCGAAACTAAGGTATCCCTGATCGCATGCACGCACGACACTGCTCTTCGACAACGACCACTGGGAAGGAGTATTGCAATAGGAGCCCCCAAGACAACCTAGATTCATCCTGGACAGTAACAAAAGGTCAGTGGCTTTCGGCCTGCCCCTACTGCCCAATGTGCCCCCAATGTCCTTCTGACGTACCCTGTATATGAGCCGTAGCATCCTCCTCAATAAGCCCTACAAAGTCCCCTATATAACCACCTTTAAGGAGTTTAGACTATGGCTCATATTAACCCCATACATGTCCTTTTGACATACCCTGTATATGAACCCCATACAGTCCTCAATCATGGATCCACACAAATGCCTGTAAAAACAAAACATGCAAACCTGGGCTAGAGTAGTTCCCATTTTCTTTTCCGTTATCCCGGTTATCCCTCTATAAACACAAGCCTAAACCCTACCAAACCCTAAATAGTAGTTTCCATCTCTTTTCCATTATCCCAATATAACCCCAATAGAACCATGGCGGCCTTGATCTGCTGCGCGCGATGCACCTCGAAGTGGTGGATAACCTTCACGGACCGTTCTTCGGCGCTTACCAAGAGTTGTTGTTGCTCATAGGGTTGTATAGGGTTTTTTAGGGGTTTTATGGGGTTATATAGGGATAATCGAAAAAGAAAATGGAAGCTACTATATATGTATATATAAGGTTCTATATTGAGGATGTAAAAACTCTTCCCCCTGCCTGACTTATTCAACATGCAGAGGAATTATCATCTCCTACCTTTGAGAAATCCAGACAACCGAGAGGCTGTTGTAAGGCTGAAGGGCCTGCAAGAGACCCTGCAACAATACAGCTAATCCCGGGCACCTGTGCTCAACTCAGACAATCCTTCAATCTTCCGTTTTTCTGATGCACCTGAATGGCAGCCGCAAGGCAGGAACTGTCGGCAGACCATATACCCAGCATCGCCCCCTCCCTCCACCCCCACTGCCAGTGCCACCAATACTGCAAGCAAATGATCATAGCATGTGGCTCCGTCAAATGACATCAGGGTTACCGGTTACTACCTTAAATGACTGCACCAAAACAAAGGATTCCAGGCCTTATGGCCTTATGGGCATTCTTAATCTTAACACTGGACATGTCAGACGCCTGTTGTTCCTTCTATATCTCCCCGAGAACTACGCTTAATTAGATCCTCAAACGACAAATCAAGGGCGCATCCTAAACCCAACCTCCTACAGCTGGCAACCCATAGAGTATCAAACCTTATATATACCCTAAATGCTAGTGCTGCCTTGCCCTGAGTCTTAAACCCAGTAGCCCGCCTTCAGCCCAATCCCTCAAAGCATTGAGGCAAGCAGCCACAGCAAACTCATCGAGCGCCAGCGGCTGGTCCATGGAACTTCGGTACAACAAAGTCTGGAGGGAGTCCTCTGGCCGCTCTAGTGCTCCGTGTCTAGGAATCTTCTATGGCATTTCCCCCCAAGAAAAAAGTATGCTACAAGTTGGAGGGGCCATACAGCTTCGCAATGCTTCGCAAGGTTTCATCCCTTGAGAAATGAGACGAGTGAGGACGCTGTCTCATGTCTCCAGGTCAAAGCTTCGGTTTTGGTTTAAGACTCAGGGAGGGTTTAGGGTTCGTTGGGGTGAGGAGATTTTCTTCGGATTCTGGGGTTCTGGAATTCGGGTTTGGGCTTCTTGGGGGGCTCTTCAATCTTGAGGGCTTGAGATTTCTTTGGAATTATGTAAAGGTTCTTCAGGGATTGGGGTTCTTTAGGGTTTCGGATTTAGTGCTTTCTAGGGTTCGGGATTTTTGGGTTTATAGTGAGTTTCTTTAATTAAGGTCAAGAGTTTGGGTTCGGGGCTCTGTTGGGCTTTAACCTTTTTAAGGTTTGCCACTTGCATGGCTGAGGGGCTTTGGGTTCTTGAGGGCTCAGAAACACTGCACCTGCGCAGACCAACGACCTGCCCCCCCCCCCAAGGTCAGAATTCT